TTCAATGTGAAAGATGTGGAAAAATGGGACATGCTAAAGAGAATTGTTATATAAGTGAACCGATAAATGGGGAAGCATTTCCGGCAGTGAAATACTTAGCACCAGCATCTAATGTAAGAATGATACAAAATAATGATATTTTGAAAGAAGGTAAAGATGAAAGTATGTGAATTAAGTGCAGGAAGGAAGGACATCGGGCTATAGAATGTCGGGAGAGGTGACTAAATGATAGCGAAAATAGTAAAATGGAAGTTATTACATTAGAGATTGAAATGAAATTTCGGGTCGGTGGAGATGTAGAAGTTAAAAGAAATTTAGTAGACAAAAGGAATATAAATTTGGTAAATGATAAAAATATGAAAAATTAAATAAATCATATTTTAAAATTAGAGGGCAAAAGTGAGAAGGATAAATGTCCTCGTGTAGAAGTAATTGTAGGAAGAAGAAAAATATCTAAGCTATTGGATGCAGGTGCTGCGATATCGATTGAGTTATGAAAATTATTGTGAATATTGACCAGAAGAGAATATAATTGAAGAGGAGATGATAGTTAAACAGTTTGATGGATCGGAAATAAAGGCTTTAGGAAAAATTGAAGTACCGTTTGTGATAAATGGTTATTTAAATTTGTTGATTGTTGATAAAAAAAAAGTGGAGACGATTATGGGGTGGGAATGGATTGTTAAGATTGGTCTATTAAATAATTTTTGGGGTATTTTTTCAAATGAAATTAAACGGGATGAAATGGTTGAAGTTCAAAATGTTGAAATAAAAAATCAAGAATTGTGTGATATAAAAGATGAAATCAATGGAAGTGGTATGATGGGTAATCGGAAAAGTGTGTTTGTAAAAAAAAATATGTCGCAAACGCGGATAGTTCTAGTTAAAAAAAGAAAGGTAAGATATATTGAGTTGTCGTAAAGTGTTAATATTATGGAAAATGACAAGCCTAGAGAGGTAAAAAAAGAAATATCTTGTAGAAAATGTGTTAATGAGAGAAATAATGATGAAATAAAAATAGCACTAAAACAGAAGAAATAGAGGAGAAAATTATTAGTCAAGAAATGTGTAAGAAATTGAATAATGAAAAGAAAGATATACCAGTGTTCGGGTTAAAAAAAATTTGAAACTATGGACGGGCTGGGCGGGCGGGTTAAGAAATTTAAACTGGGCGGGCGGGTTAAGGAAATTTAAAATTTTTGTTCAAAAACAAACTAAAAAAAATAATTGTTTAAATGATCTATAACAATATTTCTTTTTTTATTGTACCAACCGTTTTTTTAAGTGAAGAACATTTACCTAACTACAATAAAACTTTTACATTTTTGTCTATTAAAAATTTCCTTTTATGGGAATGTAAAAAAACTTTTCTAGTGCTCCTTCCGAACGCGAATTTAGCATAGCTGGAAGATTTTTAGAACAAAGAAGAATGTGTTTGAATCCAGAAAATGTCGATTCATTATTATTTTTGCATTATAATTACATATAATATTAATTTTACATTTACATTTTTTTCAAAAATATTCAATTTGATCAAATAAATTGTCCATAATTTACATTGATTATTTTTATACTTATTTAATTTCCTAAATTATAAACTTTTTGTAGAGATGTATTGCTGAAATATTTTTATTAGATGCTTAAAAAAATGCAAGAATGACCATAATTAAATTTTATAAGAGGGCTTGGGTTAAAAAAATTTTATAAATAATGGGTTGGCGGGTAAAAAATTTTAGACAAATGGGCGGGCGGGCGAGTAGGGAATTTTGGACAAATGGGCGGGGTGGGCGGATATATATTTTTTGAAAACTATGGGCGGGCTATGCTGGCGGGTTAAATTTTTTTTAGAACATTGGATAGGCGGGCTTTTGGTCCAAAAACCCGCCCAATGCAAACCTACAGGGTACATTTTGAATGGAGAGAGGAGCAATAGATTGCGTTCAGAACTTTAAAAGTGAGAATTGGGAAAGAGTCCATTCTGGTGTGTTTTAATAGTGATTTGGAAGTAGTTTGGCTTAGATGCATGTAATAGAGGAGTAGCTGGGGCGATGTTGCATTTGATAGATGGAATAGAAAGACCTGTTTTATTTTTCTCCAGAGTGTTTCGAGAGGTAGAAAAGCGGTATTCAGTGATAGAACAGGAGGCTTTGGCTGTGATTTTTGGGTTATCGAAATGTCGCGAATACCTTATAGGTAGGAAGTTTGTTGTTTTTACAGATCATAAGCCCTTGATACATTTATTTAAAAAAGATAACAAAGAGTTGAGGTTATCGCCTCGACTTCAGAGATGGTTATTGTTAGTAGGAAGTTTTGATTTGGATTTAAAATATCGAGAACCATGTACCTGATATTTTGTCGTGGTTAGGTGCGGGCGAAAATTTGGATCAATCGGTGGTTTTGAAAATTGATAATCGGGAAGAATGTCTTGTACGTACGGTAATGCGAAGTATAAAGGGTAGCCCAACGACATGGGAAGATATACAAAAGTTTACAAGGAAAGATAGAGAATTAGCGGTAGTTAAATTATGTCTAATGGGAAAAAGATCATGAAAAGATGATGATAAAGTTTTCAAAAATATTGAAACAGAATTAACTGAGGGACCCCGAGCTGTTATACCCCGGTGATTGAGGGAAAAAATTATACGTATGGTGGCCGAAAATGAACGAGGATATTGTTAAATTGGAAAGGAATGTGATACAATGCATGGTCTGACATGCCCCGTAAGGATAAAAATAGTACATGGCCAAAAGTTGTAGAACCAGGAAAGAGGGTTCATGTTGATTTTTTCGAATATGAAGGAAAAAATTATATATTAAGTGTAGATGCGTTCTCCAAATGGATAGAATTTGAAGAAATTCATGGGTTAACGGCGAATATTGTGATTAAACATTTTAAAAAAGTATGGTCGAAGTTTAGTATTCCAAAAACTGTGGTATCGGATAGTGGACCAGCTTTTATCGGTAAAGAATTCAAGAGATTCTGTGAGAAAACGGGTGTATATCATGTGTTAACGCCGCCGTATCATCCTAGTTCCAATGGACAGGCGGAACGGATGGTAGCGACGGTTAAAGGATGGTTGAAGAAGACAAAAAGTGGAAAAGGAGAAATATAGGTGAAGCATTTGTATTATAATAATGCGATAGGTAAGAATGGTTTGTCTCCGGCCGAAAAAATGATAGGTCGGAAAAGTAGCGTAGCTACGGGGGTGGTTTTCGGGTTTGGACCCCTCCCAGAGCAAAATTTTTTTTTAGATTATACGTTCAAAAGACTTAAAAGTGATTTTATATGAATTATATTTTTCTGGTTTTGATGTTTGTGGAAGGATATTATATTACTATTGAAATTATTCTAGATAGTATTATTATAAAGTCATTGAGAATAATCTACAAAATTATAATAACATATTATTGATGCATTTAAAAAATATATTTATTATATATTATCCAAGATATGGTTATAATTTGTAAGATAAACCCGGCCGAAGGCCGAGCAAAAGGGCCGAAGGCCCGTTAAAGGGGTCTGGGGGGGGCACCCAGCTTTTATATGTATGGACCCCCTCTAAGGAAAATTCCTAGCTACGCCACTGGGTCGGAAGGTAAGGATGTTTTTGGATATGTTAATACCCAGTAAAACTGCGGTAATTGTAGAGGATATTGATAGAAGGGAATTGGAATACACTGTGGGACAATTAGTATGAATTAGATTATATGGAAGTTCAAAAAAATGGGAGAAAGGTGTAGTAATAGAAAATTTGAGAAACAAATTAAATAGGATAAAATTTGATGATAATAGTGAAGGTGTCAGGCACAGGGATCAATTACGGAAGAGAGTGCATAGAAATGGTTGAAAGAGGAAATTGTAAAAAAAAATAGACGTAGATTTCAATGGTGTAAATAATCGTGTAATCAAGAAGCAATCGCTGTTTATGTAAATAGTTTTGTAATCAAGAAGCAATTACTGCCCACGAACATCGTATGTCCAACGTAAAAGAGAAACGTCACCATGTTAGGATGAGAACAATATGATGGCTACTACAAAATTCGCTTAAAAGAAAGGAGGATGGCAAAGTTAGAATCGACCCTTTAAAACAATACTGAGATGAGTATCATTGAAGATCTGATTGAGTGTATGAAGTGATAAAGAAGAAATAAAGACATAAAAATAAAAATAATGTTTAAAAAAAAATAAGTGAATCATTTATTAAATGTTTATATGCTGATTAATTTTTTTTTGCATATTGATATAAAAAATATATATAATATAGTGATATAAAAATATATATAATTTTGCCCAGGATTTTTGTTAAGGGGGCGTGTTGTAGAATTATGTTTATTATTATGTTAGTAGATTATTATTACAATAATGTCAAGGATATATTGTGTTTTTATATGAAAAATAGATAATGTCAAGGATGTTATTTACTTTTATATGAAAAAGAAGATCATTTATTTTTGAATATATTGATTTTTTAGTTAATTTTTTTCGCGTAATAAGATTGATTTTGTTTCATTGCGTATTTAATAATTTTTTTTTATAAAATAATTTTTTTTTATCCTTTCGAAAATTATATTTTTTTAAAAAAGGAAGTATTATGATTATTATATTCTTGTGAAAAATGAAATAAAAATAGAGTTTTACTGAATTGAAGTGATTCTATAAAAATTAAGTTTTACTGAATTTAAGTGAGTCTACAAAAATATTATCTTCGAAATCTATAATGGATATTATTAAAAAATTAATAAAATAGTATTTTAATTTATTTTAAAAAATCTTGGTTTTATTTATTGATTTTTAAGTTAAAATAAATTTTTTAAAAGGATCGAGATCGAATATTAAACAAAATGAACTCGATCACGATCCTTAATTTTAGACAGGATCATAAACCTAGGAAAATTGCCAAATTTTGAATTGAATACATGCTTAGATTTATATCTAACTGGAAATTCAGCCACTTCTTTAATAGTGTGAATCACTATTTACTGTTCGGTTATTCTATCTTATGTCTGTAATTTTTAAGTTTAACAAAAAAAGTGCTAAATTACAAGAATCATCAATATATGAGGATCTTCAACAAGATGAGAGTAGCAAAGATTATATTAAATCTTTAGATAATAAAAAAATTAAAAGGTTTATTTGCTTATTTATTTATAATTAAATTATAAAAACTTTAGTCTTAATCCAACAAAAAAAAAGGAATACATTATTCCACTAATCAAAAATGACAATATTTTAAGTACTTTAGAGGTTGAGGCCATAAACAGTCTTATTACAGGTAATAAAAAAATTTTGTTTTTATTTGAAATATATTTAAGAGTCCAAGGAATTTAAAGGTGTTAAAAATACTTCAACAGATTCAAATTTTATGATATCATTAGATAAAAAAATTGACCAAGTTTGAAAATTTTATTTACAATTAAAAAATTAGAAGAATTTATTTTTTATAGCCATTCTCATTACCTAATGTTAGTGTTGTTAATCCTGACTATAATGTAATACCAATTGAGGAGTATGGCCAAGCTATATTAAAAGGAATGGGATGGAAACCTGGGGATCCTATTGGCTTAAGATCAAAAACGTTATTCGATTACATTTAATCTTATATATTAATTAATCATTTTAATGGTTACAATCAGAGTTGGGTAATTTGCAAATACACTTCAAATTTGATTAAAAAAAATAACAGAAGAAATATATTATAAATATAAATAATAAATATCTAGTGTTTTTAAATACCTCGTTTTGAGCCTATTTTTAAAAATGGCTAACTCATGCCTGAACTGAATATTTTGTTCATAGAAGAAACAAAGGTTTAGACATATATTATCGAAATCTTGAGGCTTAGACAATATTTTTCTGGCTAAAATATTGACATAGCCATTTTTTAAAATCGGCTTAAAATGAGCCGTTTAACAACATTATAAATATCTACAAAAAATATTCTAATATTTTTGAATAACCATTTTTTATTTATAAATTATATTTTTATTAATCATTTAAAAAAATTTAAATAATTAATGAATAATATTATTGTATTAAAAAATGAGCAGTTATTTTGGTATAGTTTTATAACATCCTATTTAATATAATAAAGCAAACAAATAACTACATCATTATAAAATATTAAAGAAAAACAGTTTAGGATAACCAATAATATTGCTAAAATATTAAAGAAAAACAGTTTAGGATAACCAATAATATTGATATGCAATATTATATCCAAATTAAATGAACATAAGATATTTATGATAAAAATAATGTTATAGAGCCATAATTTTATATAAAATATTTTAAAGAACCTTCCATCTAATATATTTAAATGACAGGTTGAGGCTTTTCCAAATACCCAGCTTAAAATATATTCCAAAAATTTTAATATCATTAAAAATACTTGGTGACACTAGTACATCTTCTAGCTCAAATAAAATTATTTTTTCAGTATGAAAATTGCTCATTTTAATAAAATAAATGAAACAGACATGATTTCAAAAAACATTAAAGGTATTTATATTTATTTCAAATTGTAAGAAAAATACAAGATATTTTTTATTTCTTAGCATTTAAAATACAAATACATAATTCATACTAAATTAATCAATAAATATAAAAAAGTATTTATATTTGGTATTTTCAATACTGCCCAATCCTGGATACTTTGTAACTTTATAATTAATCTAGACATTTTGAAATTTAAAATTGCTATTTTTGTTCTGTAATTAAAATATATAAGGTAAGCATAATAATATTTATTCCTATCAACTTGTTCATAATAAATCATGTATATAATGTGTATCTTAATGAAATAGTTTCTAATTATTTTATTTTTCCAATATTGAATATTATATTGAACATTTTTTATTATAATTACCACATCAGTGTCATTGCCCCAATTACCCCAATGTTAAGACCTAAGGGGTTGGGACTGGGTGCTGAGAAAATTATTAGTGAACAAGAATCCAAATCACATGCAAAACTCAGGAAAATCATTGAATCAGATGACCCTCATCCTCCACATTCTCAAGGAGCAGAACCAGAGGATAACTTGGACTATTCTATAGGGACACATGTGGTTATACTTAAAGGGAGTCTTTATAATGACTGTTATGGAAAGGTAATTTATAAATATAAAAGCCATCTTGATAATTTTATTGTTTTTTTATTCAATAATTCATATTATTCTGTCTACTCATCCAGTTTCATTTATAAAATTGAATGCAGGGCTTATATCCTTACGTTTTTTCTTCCTTATTTTCTTTCTTTTTATTATCATCAATATAATTATATTTAATTACAAATATAATTTTATCCTCATAATAAGATTGAAGGCATTGACGAAGACAATGGCCGAATTATAGTTAAGTTAGCGTTTCACGATGATTTAGCCATAACTATCCCAAAGTTTTTGACTAAACTCATAACAATCAAAGATTTCGAAAAATTTCTTAAAAAAACAAGTAAATATTTTTTTTTATAAACAATTTCTTTTTCCGTGAATTTGCTATTAAAAAAAGTTTAAAAAATATAATAGAGGAAGAAGAGAAAAAAAATTTTTTTAATTTTAAATTAAAAAAAAATAAATAAAATTAATTCATAGAATTTAAGGCTAAAATTTTCAACTTCTTATTTTAAATATTTATACCGCTTACCCACATTTTCCCGAAATTTCCGAAACCGTGAGTATCAATTTAACACCAAATATTGGTCTGAAAAAAAGATAATTAACCGGCCTTACCCAAGAATATCTGTCTGTATATACATCCCAAATTTTTTTAAAAATTATTTTATAAGATGGCCAAGATATTAAAAGTTCAGAGAAGGACAGAATCGTATCCTTTATAAACCCCGTCAAGCAACAATATGGTCTTATTAATATGAAAGAAATGCCGGATAAAAGGTTTTCTATAAAAAAATATATAATAAACCTCCCATAACATCATTACTACTAAACATTTTTCCGCCAAAGATATTACTGCGAGTACATTATAGCAAATGTAATACGGTGAAAATATTTGATAAGGCCTAATTTAAATTAGTATTGAAAATATAAAAATTTTGCTTATTTTATTAAAAACTAGATACGCCTTAAAGCATGTTGGTTTATATAATCAATCAGGCATTTATAGTTGAGCCAGTTAGTAAAATCTCAAAAAATATTAATGGCTGCTTTTCACGGAAATGCATTCACGATTAATGTTTTGGCCTAAATTCATTTTGAAATAGTGATTTCAATAATATTTGCTATATTGAATTCGCGTAAAGTTTTAAATATTATGACATTTAAGATGTAACTAGTAAAATTTTTGCAAAACAAATTATCAATATAACATAATTTTAACTAATTAATTCTTTTTTGGAATGTTACCATAAAAATAGGTTGTCGTTTTTTTCAAAACCTTTATTATTTATCTCATTATCATTTTATATGTTTACCCCAAACCTAAAATGACTGTATTTATTAAATATAATGTTTCACTTACATCAAGCCATCCTGTTGAATGTATTTTTGAAAAAAAATTATTAGCACTATTTTTAGACACCAATTTAAAAAATTTAATCGTTAGAGTCAAATAAGAATTTATTCATTCCAATATTTTCGAAAAAATATATATTATGCTGTGCTATTTAGATTTTTTTTCGATGTAAATAAATATTAAATTATGGTATATTTTTTTCAGTAGAAATAAATATTATAAATATTAAATTATGGTATATTTTTTTCAGTAGAAATAAATATTACATTGTCCAGAGCCAGTTTGAGGCATTAACTTTACCGGCTTTGCCCAGGCAACAAGAAAAATGTCTATTTTTAGGGGAGCAAATTTGTTTTAGGACTGCAAAATTAGAAGAATATTTTTGAAAAAAAATACATCTCTCAATTTTAAATATAATTGAAATTGTCTATTAGTGTAGAATTTATCCATATTTAATTTATTTTAATCTCTTGATATGTTTAAAGCATAACTTAATTTTTTTTTCCCTAAAAAGTTTGAAAATATGAAGGAAAATATTAAAAAATAAGCTTATTTTTATTTTATCAGAAAATAATTTAAAAACTATTTTTTTAAAAATTTGATTCATAAAATTAATCTTTCATTAAATGAATTTCAAAAATTCCTAAATTTTATTTATGTCAATTCAGGCTGGCTCTGACATTGTGTTATATTTTAGACATTTTTTATAAGTCGTTTCTGGATACCCTTACAATTTAGAAAGCTATATTATTAATTTGAATTTTTTTTAAAGGACCAACCATGATGCTTTTAAATCCTCAGACGATTGGGTTAGGCTGAATTTAAAAGTCAGAATTATAGATCGCAAATTTAAAGAAGGCAAATATTACAAACAAAAAGTATTTTTATAAAAAAAAATTATTTGATAAGATATCTTATTATAATAATAATTAGTGTGGCTATAAACGGCTCTATTTGAGCCGCATTTTAAAAACGGTTAGCTCAATTTTCGTCAAAAAATATCGCCTAAGCCTTGAGATTCTGCTAATAGGTGTCCAAATCTTTGTGCCATCCCTCTGAGAAACGTCTTCCGGCTTGCGTAATATTTTTATGGATAAAAATTAATTTCGCCATTTTTAAAAATCGGATCAAATCGAGCCGTTTAACAACACTAATAATTATATTAAATAATATGAAATTTTCTGTTTAATCACTTAAATTTTTTTTAAAAGTCGTTATTACAACTTGATAGTCACAATCAGAGTCAATTTTAACATAAGTAAAGTGAATTACATCCACCTAAAATTTACAATTGAAAACTTAAAAGTTCTTATTATCTCGTAATAAAAATAACTCTTACTTATATATTTTTGGTTAAACATTTATTCTTGTATATAATATATCTCCCATCTTTTATTTTTCCCAAAATTTTTCTTCTCGAGTTAATCATCACCAAAATAATTCCCCCATCTATGGAAGATGACCTCAAATTAGTCACTTACACGGGTATTTTCATAAGTAACGATGAAGGATCGAATAACGATGGCAAAATTGTCAAAGACTTAACTCGTAAAATGCTCGAAACCGTCATACCAAAAAATATTCACTCGGACAGAAACGAAGCGTTAGTTATGATAGTTAAAGGCGAATATTCAGGAACGGTTAGTATATAATATGATGTCATATAAAAATAAAACAAACATACCTCGTATAAAAATACTCCAGTTTTTAGAAAATAAAGGAAAGACAGAATCATTTACTTGAAGAATATTTTGCTAATTTATGATTTGTTAAAAATTTTAGAATTATTTAAGGAATGTATGTGAAGGATGTAAGACTAATTTATATGGATGGTTATTTTATCAATGAATATATATAATATAGCATTATGAAGTTATTATTACGAATTTAAATCATAAATCACCCCATCCCCATAAGTTAATTTTTTTATTTGTTTTATATTCATTGAATAAAAATATTTGGACGGGCCAATAATTTCAAAAAATACATCCTAATTTATTTGAAATATAATTTATATCAAAATGACTGGACTTTTAACCATTTTTTTATGACCTAGTCATATTTAAGGTCAAAAAAGTTTCCAATGATTTTATAAAAATATATTAAATATGACTTCTCTAATTTTAGCTTTCTTTGAGGTCGAAATACATTACCTTGATCAAATTAGATATATATATATATATTAAATATGACTTCTCTAATTTTAGCTTTCTTTGAGGTCGAAATACATTACCTTAGTCAAATTAGATATATATATATATATAATAAATAGAAAATTATTTATTTAATCAACTATTCTTATTTAAAAAATGAATTATATCTAAGGTGGGTCAATTGATTGAAAAAAATAGCAAACAGCAAATGGCTCTTGTAAGAATCATTAATAAACGCGAAAAAATATCAGCAAAAGAATTTTCTTACAATGCAGTATGTGAATATTGTCCAGATTAAAAAATGCATCTTAAATTTATTTATTAACATAAATTATTTTATTTGTTTAATGAAAATGTATATACATTTATTGATATTGATTTAGTTAGGGAAAACTATTATATATTTACAATAATACAGATATTGTGTTTAGATCTCAAATTAAATAGAGTCAATATAATTTATTTTTAAATTAAGTAGATATTTTGAGTTTAAATTATAATCAAAAATAGCTTGGCAAAACAAAAATTCTCGAGGAGATAGAAATGGGCTATTAAAATATGTTTAAAAAGGGTAATCAAATATAAATTAGCAATATTAGAAAATTGCTTTTTTGGCAAAAAATATTATTTATGACAGGGCGGGTGATTGTTTTCGGGGAAAGTTGCCCGATTGCTCTCAATTTAAATACACATCTTATTATTTATATAAAGTATCTAAATTTAGCAATGGGGATCTTAAAATCTTATTTTAAAATTTAATATTATATAAATTGTAATCGCTATAATATAATATCCTCTTGAATAATATCTATAGATATGCATATTTCTTTGTTGAAAAGATAAGATTCAAAATGTATAAAAAATAATATTTTCATATAATATATTTTTATATTATAAAAAAAACACCAGATGACTTTATTTTTTTAGAATCTGATTGAAAATTAAATACTTGCAATTTATTTTAATTTTTTTAAAATATACCTGGACCAGGCCTAAAATATTTTTTAAAAGAAATATTTAGGCCTATATATTAAAACCGAATATATTAACGCCATTATTATCTATAAAAATTAAAAATAATATATTTTTAAAAAACCGGGCGGTGCAAATGGTACCTCTGCAGGTCTCTGATATTTACTACTAGATTGATGATTCATTTATTAAAAGATCCATATAGGAATCAGCTGTAGCGCCATTCTAAAGTTTGCACGTCTATTAAAGGACATTAATGTGCATATGATAAATAAGACGATTAGTCAACATACAAACCACATAATGACCTACAGCTGGCTTGTATTTTTTTATCTCACGTTATATCTATTCGCAATTTTTTTTTATATATATTTTTAAATTTCTATTCAATTTAAACGAAATATTATTATTTATTTATGTTTAAAAAATTTACCTTATAGAATTAAATAGAAAACTGCTGCATAAATGACGTCCCTTTAATAAATTATTTTTTTCTTTCTAATTTAGTTGCATAATGTGTATATTATAACATATTGTTAAATGAGGCATAGAAAATCATTAGATAAAAATATATGTGATTATAATTAAGGAAATAATGAAAAATTTGGCTTGAAATTATAGTTATTAGGACTATTATTCAAGGAATAATTTATAGATCTTAACTTCAATCCTCATTAAATAACAATTTTAAATAAACCTTATAAGACAAATTTTAAAAGAGATGATGTCTTAAATAAATCATGCAAGCACCCAGGATTTTATTTGTGAGTGACAGTCGATTATAGGAGAAATATATATCTGCTATAATATACCAAACGAGAATAGGTAAAATGGAATATTCATTTTATAAAATATTTATTTATCATTATAGTACCTAATTTGCACTTTAATCTAGGTTAAAAAAACTACTATTTAAATTTACAATAATTAAAAAAAGAGGATTACAATGGGTTCTTAATTATAGAAATTCTCCAGAGCAATATAATACCTTTTTTCTTTTCTGATGATCCCTTTTCGAAATCAAGGAATGTTAGGGTTCGTCTAACGAGAAAAATAAATGAAGCCTTTCATGCCTATTGTTTAAAACAAACAGTTTAAATAGCAAGGAGAGCAGTGATATGAAGATTTATATGTTTAAAATTTTTCGAAACTCTAACCTTTGTAAACGGCATGATAAACACTTTATGTAAAATATAAGGGATGATCGACATCTTCACCCAATAATCCTCAGCGAAACTTATTGCAAAGCGAAATGTTTGAAATTATTTATTTCGGCCAACCTGATCGTAGTGAAACTTTTATCGTTGCCCGAAGTCATTATCGCTAAATAAATAATATATTATGAATTATTGAAAAATATATTTAATAATATAACATAAGTTCTTAACCCCTCAATCGAATTCTCGGCGAGAAATACAGCTATTTTTTATACTCCACTGAAAATTCGCGCTAAGGGTGAATAAGGGGTAAATCATAAGTGCGAAATGTTTTAACCTCCGATGCGAAAAAAAAATTCCCAATACCACATCCTTCCAACCATATGAGGAGGCGTATCAATTAAGAAAAAAATTGCAAAGAACATGGATTGACTGAAGCTACATCTTATAGCTTTAATTAAATACATCAAATTTAATTTGAACATTGGAAATAAAATAAAAAATGGCATATTGGTTTCATTCCTGTTTTAAATTTAAATAGTATATAACTTATGTTATGTAATAAATTAGAATGTTTAAAAATATTTTTTATTTTATTATTTTGATGTTCAGTAAAGATAATCTGAAAATTAAGTTTAAATTGAATATTTTATAAGTGGTTTCCAATTTGTATTACCACATTTGAAAGGGTTAAGCGCATTCATTACTTATTGTCTAATAAGGTAAGCACGAGTTGAGGTAAATGTGACCTTTATCTGATGTGATGAAAAATAAACGTAGCAAGTTCTTTCTGATATCCCTCATTCTGGTTGTAAGTACGGAGGGGAATCCAACTTTTATCCCGATAAATATATTCACTCCCCTCCCCCTCACAACCACATAATTTTGAAAATTTAGCAAATATTTTGAAATGCTTTTTAAAAGATTCTTATTTAATCAGGATTATACTAAGAGCTATGATTTTTTTTTCAAATCAGACAATTTTGTAAAATAAATTTTTTATGAATTTTTTGAGTTAATTTTTTTTTTATTTACTCTAAATAAAAAAATTAAACCTCATTTTTTTAAAAAAGAATCTCTTTTTTCTTTAGAAATGTGTTCCTTTATCAGAACCCGGTAACTTAAACATTGATGAAGGGAAATTTTTTTTATATTCTATAAATTTTAATTATTCGAGTAATATAAACTTTGTATTCATATATATATTGATGAAATATAACACATTTTGAAAATATTGATTTGGAAACCTATTTTTACACTCATATTTTATAAATTATTCCAGGAAGTGAATGAACAATTTTTTGGAGGGAAAAAAACGTTCTATTACTCCACAATCCTTAGGGAAATGATAACTTTAATATCCCGCACACTCCTTAAACAGCGCCGTACCGAGACTTTTGGCCCCCCTTACCACAATTAAAGCTTATTTTTAAATTTTTGTATTCTGGTCAACCTAAAAGCATGTAATTTGGAAAATTTTATTTCACAAATATGAGTAACGCATAAAAGCTAGGTGTATTAAATCCCAGGCTTATCATATAATCGTTAAAAACTAAAAGCTTAAACATTTATTCCCGTTTTTTTATTTGCAAAAGCGGATATCAGTACAACTAGGATGCAATGCCATAGGGATTGAAATTAGGAAGTCTTACGCCGTGCAGCCTTTTAAATAAGTCTTAATAAATTTGAACGAGAAGCTGTGTTAAGCCGATGCGAAGGTAATGGGAGTAGTTATATTAATCCTTGAAAACAAGATATATTTGGCATGGTTTCATTTAACATATTAGTGTAAATATAGCGCAAGATTTTTAAAGGACGTTTATGGTCTGCTTACATTATAAATTTCTTAATATTGTATTTTTATTTCAGCTAATAGATCTAATAAACATTAATATCTTTTTTCAACGAATCTTGATTCATATATAAAATATTTAATTGATTATATTCTTTTAGTTTCGTAGGTGAATTTAACAACGTAGTTATATCGAATAGACACCTAAAATGATTGAAAGATTTTAACAGCTGAAAACATTTTTCGAACCAAATCTTCGCTAGATCGAGCAATACATTAAAAAATTCAATCATATCAATGTGTTCTCAAAGTTCATTATCGATTATTTCTCGCATTTTCAGATGTGGCATATATACCGTTTAGTTTTAAAAGAGCCCCTTTTTGAAAATTTAACTTCTCACCTTTTTCATTTCTCAGTATAGAATCTAATTTGTTTCCTTTTCCCATTTTTTCAAATTCTTTGTAACATATGAAATAAAAGATTATATAGTACGTTTTAACAATTCAATTCAATAAAACTGTATTATTTATCTAGTTTGCATTTTTTAAGGGTCTGAAACTAGTATAATATATATTAAATTAAACATCTAATGGTGAAATATATAGCATAATTAAAATAACTTAATTTAGCTGAGGTTAATTGAAAATATACCAACTCATAAAGCTTATTTATTAAAAGGACTATGGTGTAAATAATATTTTTTATCTTAAAGGAAAACGAATTAAAATATCCAATGAGTGCCTCCTAGATTTCAAAACTCAGATTTTAATTGAAAAAAGGAAATTTTAATAAAACTAAAAAATAATTCAAATTTTGTTTTATCAAGATATGGGACAAGACATGTCAATATTAATTTTTTAAAAAAATCAAAAAATAATTAAAGAATTTATAATTTTTTTATCGATTTTAATATATAAAAAACTAATGCAATTTAACCATTATAAACCTTGTATAGAATGAATTATATTTCCAAATATGGCCAATATTTCCTTATAGTTTAACATTAATTTCCTTATAAATATTAAATAGAGCATTTTTTCCCCATAAAATTAAACATTTTGCGGCCCTAAAAACGATGACATTTTGATGGGCATGGTGTCTGCTCTGCTTATGACGATATCACGGGCCTGTCTTTAAATATAATCTACCAATATGATGTTAGAAAATCTTTATTATCACAGAATTTTATAATTCACACTTTGGCTTTAGGTAAATCTTTAATGAGATATCAGATGCGTCTCATCCTTTCCAAAAAAAATGTTATTTCGAGTTGATTTTCCCAAAACAAAACAAAAATAATTAAATACTCTAAATTAATTATTATTTTTTCTAACAATCGTTATATCTTCCTTTGGACATATGTCATACCAAATTTTACGTTTTTTTTAAAAAAAATAGGTGGCAAAATTAAAGCCATTACATTAGAAGCCCGCCCATTAATATTTTAAAATATAATTTTTTGGGGGGAAAACTTGTAGTCCTATCCGTTTATGTAATGATCGTTTTTAATATTTTAAATTATCATAATGTTTTGTTAAAATTTAATCTTTGGGTGTCTCAGACTTTCTAAGAGATTTTTAAGCATGCTTTTTTTTACCCTGTATATTATATTTGAAAAATAAAACAGTATTATTTGTTTTCCTTTTAGTAAAAATAACTATCTTATTCTCTATAATAGGAGCAGGAGGGTAAGGGGGTCAAGATTTTAGTAAATTAGGGGACTCACAAATTTTTTTAAATAAAATTAAAAATTCCCCTTTTCAAGTTTTTGATAATACCATTTTATATACAATATCGAAAAGTTGATAAATCGAATGAATCATGTATTTTAAAAAAAATTTATATTATTTATTATATAAAATAGTCACTGTCATTATTTACAAAATTAAAATATATTGATATTTATAGGAAAAAATTTCTATTTATAATTATCATCATATATAACATGTCCTCTTTTTGTACTTAGGCTAATATGAATCAAGGGAGATAATATAATTAACATAAATCAGAGAATTTCAAAATACTTTAAAGCATTTACAAAAAATAATTGAGGCATAATTATGATAAGTTGTAATTTGTTGGAAGATTATAAGGCAAAATTGAAATATATTTGAATATTTGTCAAAACTTTGCTAATTGTCAGTTCTATTATTGTTCTTTTGTATATGTTCTTTGATAAGAGTTTCCCATTTTTTTGTTTTAATATTTTTATCACTTGTACTAATAAATTTCTTTAATTGTTTGGCACTATCGGTATCTTTGTATCTTTCAACTTCACCTCTAAATGTGTTTTGCCAAATGTCAACTACCCATGGCAAATTGGAAAAATAAAACACACTTATTGGAAAAAATATATACAAGGCAGCTCTATAAGCTTCCATTTTCCAACCAGCCATTTTAAATAATTTTGTGCAAAATTTATAGCTATGTTATTTATCTATCTTTTTTGTATTTTGATATATAGCCAATAAATTTGTTATATAATTCTTTAGGGTCATCAAACCTTGGTAACTATAATTTGTTTTTAAATAAAAAAATATGTATAATAAATTTATAGATATGCTGGAACCAATTCTATTGTTGGTACCTTTAATGTTAAAATTACCTTTATTTTATTTATTAGTAGAATCATAACTGCTTAAATTATGCCCTTTATTATAATTGTAACCAGAATATTGTTTTGATACTTTAGCGACATTTGTGTCTAACTTCATTATCATTTTACAAATCTGCTTGATCTGACACAATTTGAAAGAAATAAGTTTCCCTTCTTTACCTATACCCTCCAGATATTGTGTTCAAATATCTCTTTCAGGATTAGGGAAATCCATGCAAGATATAAATTGATACCTCAATCTCCTGTCAATGGCATCAACATTTAACTACATTTGGCCCCCAATGAAGTCAGTTTATTAGCAAACAGGTTCTGATCGTCAAGTTTCCATAGAAGATTTCGTTTTTTGATATTTATATTATGATTACCAAAATAAGATAAAAACAAATCATTTAATTTTGGTCTGTCGGAATAAATTTTTTTAACCAAAATAAACTTTCCCAACATTTAAAATAGCAAATATCAGAATTTATTTTTCTAATCTGATATGACTAAAATTATTCTCAATTCTATGATCTCCGATTTGGTTATAATAAAGGGTATAATAAAAACAGTAATAATGATTCTAATAATTAAGATAATTTTACATCAAGATATTACAATAATAATGCTCCAGGTCCAAATTTTCATTTAAATACCCAGTCAAGTTAGTATTATATCTTATATAAAAAAAAATATTGAATCAATTTTTTCTATATAAAATGTAAATTTAGTTAGAAATTTATACATCATAATAAGAAAAAAAATATATTCTTAAAAAAATAAGAAGATAAAGTTATAAAATACAAATAAATATACGTACGCGATACGTGATATATAGCGCTTTTGCCCTCTAGCGTTGAAGGTTAAACAGAACTACACTAGGTTTTCCTCATTTCCATCTAATGGAATAATTTAATTTGGGTGTAAAAGTAAAAATATGAGGAGCCCTCTACACGTTTGTGGGCAAGCCGCACGTACTTGTACGCACACCATTTCGAAAAAATCAACCCTGTCCCAACCCCATCTGGCTTCTCCATAAACGAAATTACGCAAAAACAAAGCGCCAGGGTTTGATAACATTTCTGCAGAATACATGAAAATTGCACCCGTGACAATATCGTCCTTCTTATTTACCCTCTTCAACAAAATGGGTAAGCAGTAATACTCCAGAGGAATGTAACAAATCCTTCCTATGTAATTCCCCAAAAATCAAAAACCCACTAAAATTCACAGATTACCGAACTATTGCCCTAACTTCCTGTGTCTCAAAAATCTTTATGATCCTCATAAAAAACAGAATCTTGTCTTCTACACCACATCTTTTCCTTAAATATATTTGCGCATACAGGCCAAATAAAAATATACTAGAGCCAATAGCCTTAAAAATAACGATTCAGAAATGCTGTAAATATAAAATACTGGCCTACTTCACTTTTATAGATTTCAGCAGAGCCTTTGACAATGTAAACCACGAGGCACTATGGGAATCACTGTCAGAATGTGGGATTGATTATGGTCAGAGTTTCTTATTATGTGAGCTATGAACTGTATTAGGCGTTTTTTTAAAGTTATATGTATTGGATAATGATTTGACTTTATCCAGAGATTTGAGTTCGAGATTCGTGGGTAGAAGATACCATTTATTGTGCGAAGGCAATTGTTAATGAATGATTGAAGATGTCTGTTTTCTGTTTTGGTAATTTCCCATATGTCCCCTCCATATATGAGAACTATTGTCGAGTTAAAAATCCGCAGTCTGGTGAAAACCGAGATCCCTTTGGTTTTCCAAACTTTCATGTACTTATAGAAGACACCCCTCGCCTTTTGTATTCTGATCATCATTTCCTCTTTTCCACTGCCTTTGTTATCTAGTGTTATACCTAAGTATTTAAATTTGTTCACAAACTTAATTGCATTTCCTCCAAATGTAAGATTATCTGGCGATGGAACATTTGGGGAGGGGAGAATAAAAGTTTTGTTGAAATTTATTTCAAGTCCAACTCTTTGACTTAAAATCTCTAGTAGGTATAACAAGTTTTTGGTTTCATCTATACTCCTGGAGATTACAACTTTGTCATCAGCATATGATACTATTCTGTTGACAAAAGATATGGAATTATTAAATCCTAAATCCACTAGATCGTACCCAGTGCTTCGTTTATGACTTTATTTATTATAATGTTGAATAAGAGTGGCGATAGAGTGAAGCCTTGTTTTACTCCTTTTATAATTCTAAAGCAAGGGGATATTTTATCATTTATTTTAAAACACGCAACTAGTTTTGAGTAGTGGTTTTTTAGTATGAGGATGATGTTAGGTTCAATCCCACATTCTGACAGTGATTCCCATAGTGCCTCGTGGTTAATATTGTCAAAGGCTCTGCTGAAATCTATAAAAGTAAATTAGGCTGGTATATTATATTTACAGCATTTCTGAATCGTTATTTTTAAGGCTAATATTGGCTCGAGTATATTTTTATTTGGCCTGTATTAGAGGAATGCAAAGTAATTTTTTCGCAAACCAAGCACGACCCGAGCCCGATTTAAAAAAATTTCCGAATAAAATTTTGCAATTTTAGTTTGAATATTATAATAGCCAAAAAAATTTTATGTGTATTTATTCATCGCCACCTTAAATAAAAGTTTATTTGACGGCCATAATCTATTCAAGATATATATTAAGTTGCATTTTATTTAATTTGTAAAAAATATTATAAAAAGATTAATATGCAAGCGAATTTAAAAATTATATCGATTATATAAAAAAAACAATAAAAGCATCATTTATGTCGAATATAGATGATAATGATATAAAAGTTAATAAATATATAAAAAATATAATGAACATATTATATTATATTAACATATCAATATCATTATCAAAAGTATCACAAAGTGAATAATTATGATATATAAATAAAAAGGCGTCCAGTTTATCTGGCTTTAACAAGTCCCTTTCTCTTCAAAGGCCCTATTAACAGCTGAAAACGCTCTTTCTCTGCTAACCGACGAAGCAGGGATAGCTAGGAATTTAAGAGGTAAAATACTTAAATTTGGAAACTCAATATGGTTTGTTTTCCACCAATTTAAAATATTATCATCTTCTATACATAATTTAGGATCTAGGTATTTTTTAAGCTCTTCAACTTCGGCGCTAGCATCAGAAAACGCATTGTCAGCCTCCCATAGAGAGAAATCCAAAAACGTATCTACCTCAGTATTTTATTAAGAAAATAAATATTCATAATATAATAATAATATTTACTTTATTTTTTAATAAATAATTTTATTATTAATTTAATGAGCCTTTATTTACTACTCTATCAGTTGAGCAGGAGCTAGATGGTGAGTTGATATTTATACTTTTTCTCAATAATATCTCTGTTGATTTTCTCTGCATTCATCAACGTGTTAATATGCTGACACAAATCTTTATAATGTTCTCGGGATAACATTTTCATATCCCGAAATTTTGGGCACAAAAACGTCGAAATTTGGTGGAATATATCTATTTGAAATTTATCCACAAATATTTCCTGGCATCTTTGCGATAGCTGGTTTAGCTGAGAGTTTAAATTAGGATGCGCTAAAAAACTCAATAGTTTATGATAACACAATATAACTTTGTGAATAGTGGGTTTTAAATCACTCTGAAGTTCATCACTCGCAATTTTAAAAGGCGTCAGAAACTTGATAAGATCTCTCATCATTTTAAAATCAATATTTTCTAGTCTAATCGACTCTCCTTTGGATTTGAGGATCTCCAATATTTCATTAAATTGATTAAAAATCGATTCAATTATATTTAGCCTGTTATTCCATCTAGTCTCAACACACATATACAGTTTTATCGAGCTGATTAACTAATCTAAAATTTAATGATATATTTTAATAAAAAGCTAATTTAATATACCCACTCTGTTTCATATAAGTTACTAAACTTTTACAATCAACAAAACATTGATATATCTCCGAACCTTGAGATTCAATATTTTTGTTATCAAAAGTACTCCTTAATACTGTATTTAAGAAGAACAATTTAATCTTTTATGATTTTCAAAAGCTTTAATCATATTTGCTCTTTGGTCAGTAATGATTGATTCCGATAAGTATGCCCTGCTGTATCCTGAAAGAATACATGGATTTTTATGTTATCCCGAGAACATTATAAAGATTTGTGTCAACATATTAACATGTTGATAAATGCAGAGAAAATCAACAGAGATATTATTGAGCAAAAGTCTATAAATATCAACTCACCATCTAGCTCCTGCTCAACTGATAGAGTAGTAAATAAAGGTTCATTAAATTAATAATAAAATTATTTATTAAAAAATAAAGTAAATATTATTATTATATTATGAATATTTTTTTTCTTAATAAAATACTGAGGTAGATACGTTTTTGGATTTCTTTCTATGGGAGGCTGACAATGCGTTTTCTGATGCTAGCGCCGAAGTTGACAAGCTTAAAAAATACCTAGATCCTAAATTATGTATAGATGATAATATTTTAAATTGGTGGAAAGCAAACCATAATGAGTTTCCAAATTTAAGTATTTTAGCTCTTAAATTCCTAGCTATCCCTGCTTCGTCGGCTAGCAGTGAAAGAGCAATTCAGCTGCTGATAGGGCCTTTGAAGAGAAAAGGACTTGTTTAAAGCCAGATAAACTGGACGCCTCTTTAGTTATATATAATAATTATTCACTTTGTGATACTTTTAATAATGATATTGATATGTTAATATAATATATGTTCATTATATTTTTTATATATTTATTAACTTTTATATCATTATCATCTATATTCGACATAAATGATGCTTTTATTGTATTCTTAAAAAATCGCTATAATTTTTAAATTCGCTTGTATATAAATCTTTTTATAATATTTTTTACAAATTAAATAAAATGCAACTTAATATATATCTTGAATAGATTATGGCCGTCAAATAAACTTTTATTTAAGGTGGCGATGAATAAATATACATAAATTTTTTTGAGCTATTATAAGATTCAAACTAAAATTGAAAAATTTTATTCGGGCTCGGGTCGGACTAAAAAATGTGTGCTCAGGCGCCTCGGGCTCGGAAAAAATTTTTTTACATCGGGCTCGGGTCGTGCTTGGTTTGCGAAAAAATTACTTTGCAGTCCTCTAATACAGGCAAAAATATACTCGAGCCAATATTAGCCTTAAATATAACGATTCAGAAATGCTGTAAATATAATATACCAGCCTAATTCACTTTTATAGATTTCAGCAGAGCTTTGATAATATTAACCACAAGGCACTATGGGAATCACTGTCAGAATTTGGGATTGAACCTAACATCATCCTCATTCTAAAAAAACCACTACTCAAAACTAGTTGCGTGTTTTAAAATAAATGATAAAATATTTCCTTGTTTTAGAATTAAAAAAGGAGTAAAACAAGGCTTCACTCTATCGCCACTCCTATTCAACATTATAATAAATAAAGTCATAAGCACTGGGTGCAGCTGATCTAGTGGATTTAGGATCTAATAATTCCATATCTTTTGTCAACAGAATAGTATCATATGCTGATGACATAGTTGTAATCTCCAGGAGTATAGATGAAACCAAAAACTTGTTATACTACTAGAGATTCTAAGTCAAAGAGTTGGACTTGAAATAAATTTCAACAAAACTTTTATTCTCCCCTCCCCAAATGTTCCATCACTAGATAATCTTACATTTGGAGGAAATGCAATTAAGTTTGTGAACAAAATTAAATACTTAGGTATAACACTAGATAACAAAGGCAGTGGAAAAGAGGAAATGATGATCTGAATACAAAAGGAGGGGTGCCTTCTATAAGTACACGAAAGTTTGGAAAACCAAAGAGATCTCGGCTTTCACCAGACTGCGAATTTTTAACTTGACAATAATTCCCATATTACTCTATGGAACATATGGGAAATTACCAAAACAGAAAACAGACATATTTAATCATTCATTAACAATTGCCTTCGCACAATAAATGGTATCTTCTACCCACGAATCTCGAACTCAAATCTCTGGATAAAGTCAAATCATAATCCAATACATATAACTTTAAAAAACACCTAATACAGTTCATAGCTCACATAATAAGAAACTCTGACCACAATCAATCCCACATTCTAACAGTGATTCCCATAGTGCCTCGTGGTTTACATTGTCAAAGGCTCTGCTGAAATCTATAAAAGTGAAGTAGGCCAGTATTTTATATTTACAGCATTTCTGAATCATTATTTTTAAGGCTATTGGCTCGAGTATATTTTTATTTGGCCTGTATGCGCAAATATATTTGGGGAAAAGATGTGGTGTAGAAGACAAGATTCTGTTTTTTATGAGAACCATAAAGATTTTTAAGACACAGGAAGTTAAGGCAATAGCTCAGTAATCTGTGAATTTTAATGGGTTTTTGATTTTTGGGAAATTACATAGGAAGGATTTGTTCCATTCCTCTGGAGTATTACTGCTTACCCAAATTTTGTTGAAGAGGGTAAATAAGGTCGATATTGTCACGGGTGCAATTTTCATGTATTCTGCAGAAATGTTATCAAACCCTGGCGCTTTGTTTTTGCATAATTTTTTGATTACATTAGCAATTTTGTTTATGGAGAAGCTAGATGGGGATGTGACAGGGTTTGTATTCAAACTAGCTGGTGGAGTTGCTCTCCTTGAATCAAAGACCATCGTAATAGTCAAGCCATAAAGCTATTTGTTTATCTTGATATATAATTACTTTCCTATTTCTTAAAACAATGGAGGGAAGTTTCTTAAAACTATTTAGTTTAAAGAAATATTGTAATTTTTTGTAGGCATCGTAGATCCTATTCTCTTTCATATCTTTATCAATATCAAAGGCTTATTTGCAATGTAGATCTGTCTATCCCTCCAGAGTAGTCTTTGTATGTATTTCCTTGGTAAAGATGCAGTTTATATCTGCAGCAATGTCATTGGGAATGCCACTATACAATAACCAAATTGTGAAGATAGAAATTCCTTGATTTCTGCAAAAACTTCAAAATAGAAAACACCTTCTTTTGTCACAGTGAACTACACTTTTGTAACAGCTCAACAGAAATCTCAAATTGATTTCTTCATATCTAATATTCACCAATGGTTTGATGATGTCAAGGCCACAACCAATATAAATCTGTCAGATCACCAAATGCTCATAGCAAATATCACCATAAAAAATATATGGGGTTATCTCAATGGAAGTAGACAAGCTTCAACTTGTTCTAGTGCTTATCCTTTGCGAACAAATATAACATGCAAACCCAATAAAATACAATCACAGGAAGATGCAAGACTTTTTGATCAAGCATTAAGAGGGAAAGAAGCTAACTTTTTAAATGTAATCAGGCACGAAATGTAGAAGCATGCTGGAAACTTTTCAAAGGAGATCTTGCAGAATCATATAATGTTTTGCCAAATGTGAGTTTTTTCTCAAGGAATGAATGGATGTCTAGTGATACCCTATAAAAAATAAATCAGCTAAGAATAGAGAACGGCTCAAACAGTGGCCTATGGAAGTACATACAAAGACTACTAAGAAGGGATAGATAGATCTACATTGTGAAAAAAGCCTTTGATAAAAAAAAAATATTTATAAGTGTAGTAATTTTTTTTTTTAATATTTTGATATAGGGCTAGATCCGATTTCTAAAATCTATAAACCTGATTAATGCAGATTATTAAATATTATTTTAAAAAAGTGAAGTAACTTAAGATCAAGGTGAAAATAAGTCATATAAATGAATAAAAGATATTTTAAAATGAACTCACGTCGTAATTTTGAGCGATGAAAACTCCTGTATAAAAGCCAACGCCAAATGTTACCTATTAATCAATAACAAAATTACTTGTAAAAAATTATAAATGTACCAAAAATTTGAGCATTTGATCGAATGCATGAATATTATTATTTTCATTGCAAAGTTTGTTCTAAACTTTACCTAGGCATATGATTATGGCCACCTATGACATATTTATTTATTCATAGTTATAATAAATAAAATTATATAAATATATATATATATAAATATATATGTATATAAATAATCATATAATATAACTTATCGGATTTGACTGGTTTTGAATAAAAAAGATTTAATTTTATAAATCATTTTTAAATTTATCTTTAAAAATAGGGTATATATTTATAATTAGTAATGTTAAATCCAAAACAAAATTATCTTCGTCTTTTTTTCACACTCATTAAACTGGGTAAAAATAAACATAAGCGCTTTAATTTTTTTATGAGAAGAATCATTAACCAATTTTTGGGCAGTCTGTAGTTAATTTTGCTATCATGTAGACTGTGATTAATGATAATATATTTTTTATTTTATATACATTTTAAATTACAGTTTATTTGGATTATATTATCATGGTTATCAGACAAATATGATTGCCGTTTGTAATGTGAGTGATGATGCATTGATAAATTGATTTTGCTTTTGACTTTATTATAAGGATTAGCTTCATACTTAAATGCTTATACCCTATGGTCATTAAAAATATAGTTTAAAAAAGCCCATGCATAAAAGGATTTTTTTAAATTGTATTATTTAGTTTTGTAAGTTAAATTTGTTCATACTTATATTTTATCTCAAATGTCATTGGTGACTTTATGTATCTGGTGTGATTCATATAATCCATATTTTTCCTCTTTGTTTGAATTATGTATATTTTTCTTGTGATTTCTTAATATGGGTCTAAGTGGTTCAATTCTCTTCCCTCTAAATGTTTTATGTCTGGTATATGAGTATATTTTTTCACAAGTTTTTATTTAGCATGGTTTTGGGATAGATATACTCATTTAATTGTCTTAGACATCAGTTGATAAAAGTCTTTTACTATTCTTTAAAAGTGTTTTGCTTGCGACCCAGGTGTCACTTTTATACAGCAAGTCTGGCATTACTGCAGAGCTAGAGATTCTTATACAAGTTTTCGCATATATTTTTTGAATGCACAAAGTTTAAAGTACTTCTTTAATGATTTGGTATTTTTTATTCTAATTTCAAATTAGAACTTCATATTCCCTTTGATGTCTATACCCCTTGTTATTTGAAGCATTTAGTAGCTTTTATGGTTTTGTTAATATTATTGATTCTCGCGCTCAGTGATGGCATAAAGGTTTTATAGTAGTCAATATTTAACCCAGATTTCTGACTATTTAAACTTATTTATTAAATTAACGGTTTCCGTTCCTGATTTAATAATAAGACCGATGTTGGTATACAAAATTTAATTAATTCTTTAAAAATGTTCACTGGAAATGATGGTATCTCTGATTACGTCATCATGTTTGTAATAATTAAATGGAAGAATATCGAGGACATCAAGCCTTGCCCTCATTTTTACTCTAAACATAGATGAATAAATTTGCACTATTTAGAACTTGTCAAAAAATTATTATAATAAAATTTCAGAATTTTGATCATATTTCTTTCTATTCTATATTTTAAAAGGCAGAATGCTTTAAATTGTCATAGGCTTTTCAATGTTCATGAATTTAAATAAATATGGAAGTTTATATCTATTTCATTTTTGCAAAGTTACCTTCAGAGCTAATATGGGCTCTAATATATTTTCACCCAATAATTAATGGAACATAGTGCTGCTTTTTAGTAGAATAACAAATATTTTGATATGGATGTCAGTACTATAGTTCTAAATAGTTAAATTATAACGGGTTTGGGGGAAGTTACAGAATGTAAATAGGTTCCCATCTTTAGAAATTTCAGCGGTTTCCTAAATTCTTTATAAATAATAAGAGATACTTATATATATTATCCCTTTGAGGTGTTCGGATCTTACCTTTTTAATCGCTCCATTGATTTCTAATATGGAGGCTTGATAATGTGGCAGTGACGAAGCGTCAAGTTTACTACTAAGGAAGCGATCAAAAAAAATTTTATTTTTATTTTAGTCAAACTCAAACAATAAAAACATTAAGATTTATAAATAAGTGGTATTCGTCTTTATTTTTGAGTAAAATGATTAAGTACTGCATTATAAAAGTTATCGCTAGATTTTAAATTTTTTAATAATTTTTTTTCAATCGAAATCAAAGATAGATTCGATAATCGATTTTGGCTCATCCTGTTTCTGCAATAAGATTTGATTCTTTTTAAAGATGAAAACTCCTTTCTGCACTTGCTGTTGTTAAAGCCAAAGTTAAGATGAATTTGCATAATTTAAAATCTTTAAAACTTTTCATCAAATCGATGCATATTGAAAATTTAAGTATTTCATTAACATTCTTTTTCTTTTTAAATTCAACATCCCGAAACACCATCTTTAATTCGGGATCCAGCTTGTGCAAGTCGAAAAATTGAGAATAAGTGTCGTTTAAATTATCTAATAAATATTTTGGGAAATTGATTATTTGGAATTTACTAATATCTAACAATTCGACGAATTTAATATTTTTTGGTGTATGACATATGAAATAGAATTAATCAAATCATTTTAAATATTGCTTGATAGTACAATAAAAACTGCACTATTTCTAAACGATGTTTCAATAGTAAATTTTCTTCTGCGAGCAAATAAATTAATACAATATAATTTCCTCTATTTACTGAATTAGAAGATTCATCATCACCACGGAATACGAGCTCCTGAATTCCAAGAAAACATATAGAGTTGATCAATTATGGATGCAAGTTTTGATTTTTTTTTTAGTTTTGTAAAATTGGTCTTGGTCTTCCTTTTTCAATAATCAATTTTTTCGCATCAAAATTTCTTAAGCTAAATGATAATGTTAATAAATTTTCAATAATACAATTACAATTATTAAACATTAATTAAGGATTTTAAAAACGAAAAATTTTTATTTTAGAAAAGTAAGGAAAATAATATTATATAAAAAAATTTCTTTCTCTTTTATTTATTTTAAAAAAAATAAGTTTTTTTTTATTTGCTTCCCCAATGCTTATTTTTTAATGGTAAAATTACACAATACCATGGCATGATGTTCTCTTTATTTATTAAAAAAAATAAGCAATATTAAATTTGCTTCCCTCATGTATATTTTTTTTAACGTAGTAAAAATAATAGTATTTCTAAATATAGTAAAAATAATATTAATTATTTAACGTTATAAAAATTATATTAATCTTTTTAACGTTATAAAAATTATATTAATCTTTAACGTTATAAAAATTATATTAATTTTTTTAACGAAGTCAGTTTAGTTTATTTATCATAGTACAAAAATTATATTAAGTTTATTTAGAAATTTTGTATGAAAAATTTTAAGGGAAGCAATGCTTCCCTTGCTTCTATGGACGCTTCGTCACTGTAATGTGGTAAGTTAATATCTTTGGACATCATTGAGTTTGGGTATTCTTGATTCAAATGTATTCAATAATCCAGTCTAAATGTTCCGCTAGATTATTCGATATTTAATTATTTTTACTAATTTTAATAATGGTCGCTTACTAAAGCAGGTTTATAGAAGTGATTTAGTTTATTAAACGCATTGTGTTTCCTTTTATTCCCATGCTCTCTTTTATTTTACCAGTTTTACGAGTTAAATATTATCTTCTATCTCCCCTTAACATTTTTTTGCACTGTATCTCTATTTTTATGATTAACCGCCTTTAGATTTCCGCTTTGGTTTTTGGAGTTAATCATTCTATTTCAGGTATTTTGCTTGTGGTTATATATTTAGAGGGTGTTTAAAAGAATATTTTTAGAATTTTATCTAACAAATTTATAAATAGTTTGGAAGGAAATTTGTAAATTCAACTAAAATATTTTTCTTCCATTTGGAACTGTATTAAAAGAATTACATTACATATGAGAATGAATCATCTTTATTTTTGATTATATTTTTAAAAAAAATTTCTCTATATGTACTATAAAATTCGAGAAATCATAGATGAATAATGTCATAAGTTTGTGATAGATACAAGGGTTTAAGAATCAATTAAAACTAAATATTATATAAATATTAAAAACACATGGAAAATTTTATAAATAATAAATAAAATGCCCTTTACTCTCAACTACTCCCAAAAATATAACTTATCAATCCAAAATAATCCTTTATAATAATATTAAATAAATATAATAAACATTACTACAATTCATCTTTATTTATGTATATATAACATATAAACATATTAAATCTTCCCCAATCAATCCCATCTTCAATATCTCCACTCCAAATCCAAACAAAGAATGTTCTTTTCTAACAACAAACCATGTGATCATTTCGTTTTCCTCCCATCCACCAGGAAAACTAATTTTTCTGTCAGAAAATAACTGACATTTGATGTATTATATTAAATTTATTTCTTCTTTTTTTCAACAGCTACAACACGCCCACCCTTCACAAGCCCAGAATCCCTCTCTCTGTGGTGGTATTGTATCGAATCGCTCCTTTGAATTGTATCGAATCTCCCCTTTGAATTGTATCGTGACGTCTTGAAGACGTTCAAGGAATTTATCGAATCGTCTTCCCTTATGATGATTTATAATATAATATCTCCGATACATTTCAATATATAATCGCGAAAACACATATTATCAATAATGACATGTACATTGGGGTATCTTCATTTATAATCTATGGAACATTAATATGGACAATGTAATATCAGCAAAACATAATAATTCATTCATTTTAAGACATTTGGGAAATAGGAGCTATAATATACATTATTTGTATATGATTAATGGTATTTATGAAATAATGACTTTACATATAATACTGTAATGTGAACACATGGTCTATGTGTGAAATGCAATTTCAACACATGGTCTATGTGTGAAATGCAATTTCAACACATGTAATTGTCCTTCTGTCATGTAAAAAAAATCAAAGCTACATTTTTATAAATATCCCCTAAAATAGATATAAAAATCCATTTTTAGGTATTAAAAATAATTGTGAAAATTTGCCAAACAAAGATTTTAA